CTCTCTCTCTCCAGGCGGCCGCTCTCGGAGCCGCCCGGCGCGCTCCCGCCTCCCGCTTCCGGTCTCGAGTCGGCCGCGGGGGGAGGTGGGAAATGTATTTTTCTCTGCGCGCTTATTAATAAATGCATCTCTGGGATCAATTTCCTTGTTACCAGAGGAATATTTTACTAAAAATCAATGTATCCTGCTCTGGAGAACTAGGCGGGCCAGAAATGTGATCGATTTACTATAGTCAACCACTCCGATACTGCCTACAATGGAGCTTGTTTATTTTTTTTCCGGGGAGTTTATTTACATGTCGCCGTGTTGTCGGGAGCGCGCTTACCTGGGCTGGGCCGGGCGTCGTCGCTAGGCAACCGCAGCAGCGCCGGGGAGACGAGACGAGCCGAGCGAGCCGGGTCAGTCCTGCCGGCTGCTGCAGGGTTTGGGACCTGGTGAGAAATGGAGAAGATCAGCGTCTCCGGGGACGCGTCACTGGCGGTGGAGGAGTACCTGGAGTACCGGAGGTGTGTACAGCGCGTCTCCGTGCCCTGAGTGCACCGAGCGGCTTCACGGCGACCCGGCGCCGGGTACGAGTCACAGAGCCGCAGCCCGCCCCGGCCTTTCGGACGGGCTGGTGTGCGGGGTGACGGCTCACCTGCGTTGTGATCCAGCTCAGGCTGGAGAGAGGCATTTGTTCAGGAGATTTAGTTCACGTTGATCTGTACGCGCAACAGTAAGACAAAATCAAACAGCCGTAGGGGGGCACTTACCTAGTTTTAGCCAGAGAATATTATTCAAGGAAGTGAGACCTACTTATTATATTGTAGCATTCTTAAAGTGCTTTAGAAAACCTCGCTTCTGATAGACGTTGTCGCACCCTTAAAAGAAACCATATGGTGCGAAGCCGGTGCTTTCGATCTAGCGTGATGACTGCGCGGCAGGATCAACGTGTGCAAATCATCAGGATGTCACCTGATGCGCCTGCTTCGCACTACTGAGTTTCCTTTTCACATTTCGTGAAAAACACTAATATGTCGCATATCGGTATGCTTCAGTACTCCAGGTGTACAATTCATCAAGATGGAGTACTGAAGCACACTGATATGCGACACTTAAGTGTTTTTCACGAAATGTAAAAAGGAAACTCAGTACTGCGAAGCAGGCGCATCAGGTGACACCTTGAAGGAGTCTCCGTCATTACAGTTGTGGATGATTACAGAGCTCACAGGGAACATTTTTGCCACGCAAGTCGTGAAAAATACTCCAGGTGTACGAATCATCAAGATGTCACCTGATGCGCCTGCTAAGCAATTCTGAGTTTCCTTTTTACTTTTCAGAATTGCAAGCGGAGAGCTAAAGGAAAGGGTCACTTAGTTCTGTTAAAACAGGGCCGTCCCTGGGCTACAGCATGACCTCCACTCCCTGGCAGGAGGTGTGTGTTTAGTAAGCATCTGGAGATTGTTGTCAAAATGAACCGTTGGACCTCTGAGCGTCCTGTTCTGCGCCAGCCTGCCCGGTGACGGACATGGGAACAGTGGACAGTGTCTTGACGGGTCTCCAGCTCCACAGCCGAAGTGTTCCCTGTGAGCTCTGTAATCATCCACACCTGTAATGCCGGAGGTGTGCCGCTCCAGGGCTCGTCCTGTTGAAACAACACCGGGAAGCATTGAAGCTGATGTGATGCTCTAGCTGTGCTGTGTCTCCACATCCGCTCGGTCCCGTTTCCTGAAAATAAGAGGGCTTGTCCGCTAAACCTGGCTTGGGTTCCAGGGAATACCTGAAAGGGCTCCGAGGGGCTGTGGCAGGATCCTCGGACCTCGGAGTGAATGGGCTGTGGGACATGGTTCTGTAGCCTGGATTGCTTCCTGATGTGACCGGCAGGCTGTGACGGAGAAACTGTCACTGCATGCGACACATAGTTGGGTGCACATCCCCTTACACAGGCCCACTCTGTATGACTTGGTTTATCTCCTGAAACCAATCGCTAAATCAGTGACTGAAGATAAATGAAATAGTTACCAGTTATTGGTATGGCTTGATATTTGGGTCAAACACAAACTCTTAGCCACAAAATCATCTGCATTTTCGATCTCGGCTGCCCTTCAGTTTAGAAGAATTGTTTTTCACGAACAGCGGTGGCGCAGTAGTCGGCATTACCGCCACACAGCTCTGGGGCCCTGAGTTCAATTCCTGGGGTGCTGTATCTGCGTGGAGTTTGTATGTTCTCCCCATGTTCATCTGGGTTTCCTTTCGGTGCTCCAGACCCCTCCCACAGTCGGAAGAGAAGCTAGTAACCGGCTTCTGGGAAAACTGGCCCTGGCGTGAGTGTGTTTGTGTCTGTGTGTGACCTGCGATGGGCTATTATCCTGTCCAGGGTGAATCCCGCCTTGCGCCCGTTGCTGGCCTGGACAGGCTCCGGCTCCCCCCGGCCCTGAGTTGGATGAAGCAGTGGGATGAGGGGGTGGACAGAATCATTAGCACTGAAAGAAAGGTAACGGTGAGGAGTTCTGGGGGCCAGAAGAGTCTAACCTGAACTGTCTGTTCAGGATCGTCGGCGATGACGACGGGGGGCAGACGTTCACCCCTGAGGAGTACGAGGAGTACAAGAGGAGGGTCCTGCCTTCGCGCCTGCGGAACCGGCTGTACGTCAGCTGGGGGGTACCGGGCGGGATCGACTGCAAGCTCATTGGCCCCGAGACGCCCTGCTTCTGCACTCACAGGTGAGGCGCGCGGAGCTCGGGGCACTGCGGTGCTGCCCGGGTGGGTCCTCGTGTCCAGCACACACGCGCGGTGCTCAGGGCTGGCCAGGGCCCGCGCGCTGGAATGTGCCTTTTCACCATTTCTTTTAAAACAAAGCAAAAAAAAAAAAAGCTCTGTGATGCAGTTACGCTTTTTGCAAGTTTGGTAAAATTGAGTCATGTTTTTTTGAAGACTTGCCCCCCTGCAGGTAAAACTATCAGCCGGGGGTCTCCAGGTCTGGTGATTGAGAGCACTAATCCCTTTTGCCTTGTGGTCAGCTCTGGTTCTTAAGAGCTCAAAGTATTGGTATTGTGACTTTTGTTCCAAATGACCTTTACATTAACTAATTTAACGAATCACACCGTCTTTCGGATGAGGCATTAAACCAAGGTCCTGTCTCTCAGTGGTCATTAAAGATCCCCGGGCATTTCTCGATAAGAGTAGGGAGTTATCGAGGTGTCTGGGCCAAAATTTCCCCCCTCAGCTTTTACCATGGCCTCCAAATTGTCCCCATGTATGCTTGGCTTGCACTTGCCCTGCGATGGACTGGCGCCCTGCCCAGGGTGAACCCTGGCTTGTGCTCGTTGTTTGTCAGGAAGGCTGCGGATTCCCGTGACACTGTATGGTACAAAGCGGTTTGGCAAATGACATGACCTCTTTTAACTGATCACAGTTCAGGTTTCCCCGTCTTTAGCGAATTATGATTTTGAGGTTAAGGTATAAAACCTACTGGACTTTGACCAGGGTTTTTCTGCTCTGCTACAGCCAAGGCTATAACGCTGCTGAGCTCGATAAGTCCTTCACTGGCGGGATCTTCCTGTTCAGCTGTTCAAACATTTGGAAGTGCTAGAAATTCATTTATTTTGTTTATAGGTCACCAAGAGCATGCAGCCCAGGGCTGTGTCACAACACGCTCATGTTCCGCTGCTCTGGAGCCGGACATGATGAGGATCATCCGTTAGTTGTGTGCTTGGGATTGCATAGCACAGAAAGAAAACAGGGTTCAAGTCCAAGATCAGGAATGGGCAATTTTGACAATTAGTGAGTTAATTAGCCAATTAAGTGGGTAAGCAGTTTGGTCAGCTGGGATTTCCCGGTCTTATTCCAGGGGCAGTTAGAAGCCTGCTCTGAGCCCTACGGGGGCCTGGCTCTCCAGGACTGGGGATGCTCAGCCCTGTTTTAGCTATTTATTTACCACGTCTCTAATCTGTGGAGGTCTCGGGAGACTCGCAAGGTCAGTCGAGTCTGCAGGTCCGACACCACGGTCCCTGGCTGGGCAGGAAGTGTCGTTTTTTCATCAAACTCGTTGCTGCGGGTGGCAACGACAAAAAGGGGTGAAATCGTTTCGCCCCTGCGGCGCTGGCCCCGCTCTCTCGCACCCGCGCCCGACGGCTCTGCCTCCGTGTCTCTGCCGCAGGTACAAGCAGCACCGGACGGACTTCGAGCGGCTCCCGGGGCTGCGGCGCCCCCTGCTGCCCTGCCGAGCGCGGGGCTGCGGCTGCGAGTCCTACCGCTACGTCCCGCGGCGCGGCTCCCAGCCCGCGCGCTGCAGCTGCAAGCACGCCGCGGAGGAGCACAGCGAGGCGCCGGGCCTGGCCTGCAGGAGGTGTACGTCCTCTTCGTTCCCCCTCGCCCCTGCTCCCCTGCCCCCGGGGGGAGACGTCCTTCCGACAGACACCGCCGTTCTTTTCAGTTCATTTTATTTTTACAAAACCCACGAGGCATAGAACGTCAAAAGTGGCCTACGGGTTTTTGTCACTTGGAAGGAAATTCATAAGGAATTTCAGATGTCTGCATGGAGAAAAGAATATACTGTATGTACAAATCAAAAAACCCCGCCTGCAGCATCTAGGACATGTTTAGAATGTAGGAAATAGGGGGTCAGCCTCCTCCAAGATCAGTACATGGTAAAGGCCAGTAAGGCTCTGTGGCTCAGGATCTGTGCCTGTGGCTGGAAGGTTGCCGGTTCAAATCCCGCGGCCGGCAGAGGAATCCTACTCCGTTGGGCCCCTGAGCAAGGCCCTTCACCCCAGCTGCTCCAGGGGCGCTGTACAATGGCAGACCCTGCGCTCTGACCCCCAGCTTCTCTCCCTGTCTGTGTGTCTGTGTCTCCTTGGAGAAAAAAGCTGGGGTATGCGAAAAGACGAATTCCTAATGCAAGCAATTGTATAGGGCTAATAAAGAAACATTATTATTATTATTATTATTATTATTATTATTATTATTATTATTATTATTAAAAATGGCTTCCTGTCACTCTGAAATTCACTAGTTATGCTTTAGTTCTTAAGGAAGGCCTGTATTTGCCATTAAAGCCTGGTTTCCTGAAGGGAGTGTTATTACAGTATTATTGTGGTGTGCGCTGTGTGTTACGCGCCACACCCACTCCCTCGGGCGGTAAGGGTCAGCTCACGCTCTGCGTGTCGGCCGGTCGCGCAGGTGCCTCCTGCTCGGGGTTCCGGTGCCCGTCCACCTGCGGCTGCGGCCAGCCCGGCTACGCCCACGAGACGCTGGTGGAGACGGAGGAGCAGCGGCGCGCTCGCGGCCGGCCCGTGGGGCGCCCCGTCCCCTACGCCGCCATGGGGGGCCTGACCGGGTTCAGCTCCCTGGCAGAGGGCTACCTGAGGCTGGACGCCAGCGGAGCAGGTACGGGCTCGGTGAGATAGAGGTAGTAGTTCAGGTGGGGAGCTGCGTCAGCATGCGTAGGCTGCAAAGGAACAAGTAATAGGTTTATTCCATGCTGAAAAAAAGGAGAAAGAGAACACAACGAACACAACGTTTCGGCCGTGGAGCCTTCTTCAGGTGTGAGAGAGACAGGGCAGTAGGCAAAGGTAAAGTAGCGGGAGAACAAAGGTTGGGAGGGAGGAGGAGTGAGAGGCGGGAGCAGGGGACAGAAAGAGAGGCCAATCAAGAGGTGTGAAGTCAGAATGGGTGCAGAGAGGTGTGAAATGAAACTTCCAATGAATGGAGAAAATTGGAGATAGAGGTAGTGCTGTGAGAAAGCCACCATCTTGGCTCAAAATCCTGGCCTGTTGGGGGTACCCCGGAGCCAAAATGGCAACCTGTTCCCTGAAAAGGTGCAGTTGATTCTCGAAGGGAGAGGGATTCCACGTGCGGGACAGGCTGTATTGGGGTTGTATCCCCGGGTACAGAGCGGTGTCCCCGGGATACGGTTGCCATGCGTTGGTGGTGTGCTGTGCTTTCAGGTGTGCCCCCGTCCCTCGCTGTGCCACCCTCCGGGAGCGCCGCCGGTCACACACTGGTCGAGGCTTTCGGGGCGCAGACGCCAGTCGGGGGTAAGAAATCAACACGCGTCTCGCTGCCATCAGGCAGCCCTGGGCGGGTGGCCCGCGGGTTCGCCCGGCGCCTGGAGCCCAGCTGGGCCTGAAGGCCAGGAGGGTCTCCGCAGCGGTTCGACGAGCCCGTGTGACCTGGCGCTGGCTCACAGTCCCGGCACGGCGTTCCGGCTCCTCCACAGAACACAGTCACGAAAATGTTCTTGGGAAGATCAGCGTTGCGCAAGTTAGAGGTGCCCTTGCGTTTGGAGAACAAATGATCGATTTGAATGTTTTAAAACACAAGAAAACGAACCCAGAACAAGGAGCAGTGTTTCCCCACAGGTGGAGCTGCGTGACTGTAGTAGATGTGCAGTAAAGACCTCGTTCACGGCAGCCATTCACAGCTGCCGCTGTCCTCCCGTATCAAACCCTCGGAAGGGCTCCTGGAAGTCATTAAGTAAGCTTCGGTCAGTTCTGCAACGGAAGTTTTGCATTGCTGCATCGCAGCTTGATGTCACAGTGGTGGGCCTTGCTGCTTCACAGCGGGTTCAATTCCGGACATGGGGGTGCTGTCTGTGTGGAGTTTGTATGTTCTCCCCATATTGGTGTGGGTTCTCTACCATTGTTCCAGTTTCCAAAGACAACTGGCTACTGGTAAAAAAAAAGGGCCAGTATCTACCACTGTGTGTCTGTGTGCCCCTGTGTGTTAATGTCGAAGGCCACGCTGCCTGCAATGCTCTGACAGAGCCCTGACATTGTCGCAGTGCCGGTGAGGGACCTGAGTCCCTGGTGGTCCTTCACTCAAGTGCACAGAGCTGGAATCATTGAGACACAGAGTGGATGACTGGGCTCCATTGCTAGGGTGCATCAGTCCATGGTGAGCCGAGTAGTTTGTGAGAGGTTTGTTGTTATGTACTGTATTTGTGCCTTCTAAAGTTGTGTAAGGCTCTGATTTATTCCTCTTTGATGCATAATTAACACCAGCACCAGAAACGGCAATAAACATGACAAATATTGAAAATAGTCAGTTATTGCAGGTCACTCGCTGTAACAGTCCTGCTTCTTTCCTTTCCACCTAGAGTTAAACTCCGGGGCGAGGCCAGTGCCAGGCTTGAGGTCGCCCGAAGAGGATGACATGGCTTACTTTGAGAGGCGTTACCAGGAAAGGGTGAGTTCTGGGCAGCGCTTCTTTTGGAGACACAGTTCAGAGCTCAGCTCTTACACCAGTACAGTGTACAAACAAGCCACCCGCTCTGCCTCGACATGTTCTCAGCTTTCCTTGTTTTGTTTGTTTTTAATCTTGCAGACCTGACGCACTGCAGAGCTAAAGAGAGATTTTTTTTAAATGAATTTCATAGATATGGCTGGGATGTTAGAGCATTTTCCAGGAAAAAAACGTTATTTCCACCATCAAGCACTAAATTTGAGATGTATCCCTGGTGAGCCTGGCTGTTTGGAAAGGCTATATATTTCCATGAGTATGAGCCAGAGGCTCCTCAGGTAGTCCCGGAGCCTGGAGCTCAGGATCAGTCAGCTTGAACGTTTTCTGTTTACAAACCTAGAATGTAAAGTTGATTAACCAGATGCATTCATGCGATTCACACTTGCAGCTGAAAATGGAGAAGATGGCAAATCGTCGAACGGCTCCTGCGTCTGGGGCCAAATTACCAAATAGGACACCTCGGCAGGCGCCGAAGTAAGCTCTCCGCAGGCCTGCAGGGGGCGTGATACTTCTGCTTCACCTAGAGGATGAGAGCATTGACACTACTGGCGACGTCCAGGAGAAGTGACGAGGGTATGGGTCACCCCAAGCAAACAAATGTTCAGAGCCACTGATGCACGTTAGAGTTCAAAAGGTTTTGATTGTTATAAAGTGGAATTTTAATAAATGTTTTTCTTGTGGTTTACTCATCGCAATGTAATGTTTGTGTGTCAGCTTCAGATTGCGAACCTCAGCTCTTTCTTGGTCACACTGACTTCTTTTACACTTGATTATGAAATGGAGCCAAACATTGATCTTGTCTCAAAATTAATTTCAGTGCAAGTCTGTTTCGTTCCACTCTACTTGCTGAAGAAATTAAAACACATCCCTCTAGTGTGACAAGGTGTTAAGATGTAGCCATGGGAGTCCAGGCACTTCCATAGTGGCTTAAACAAAGTTCAGATCTTACCACAACAAAGATCACACACCAGGATCAGCCATTCTGCCCATCTAGCCCAGTTTGTAGTTAATGGCTCTGACTTTCTCACTCGGGAGCAGAGGCAGCTCTTCCACGTGCGTCTTCTTCTTCCGTGTATCTCCTGTGAAGGGTTTCTGGCGAGGAAACCGAGGGGGGAGGAATGTCTGTATTTTAAATTTGGTTCAGCATCTCTCATTAAAACTGATCTGTTTTTTCTTTAAAACATTTAAAAGGAGAACCACGCCTGGCCGCCACTCGACCCTTAAAGAAGGAGAGCTGGTAAAGTTTATGTATCACAGGCAGGAGAGGTCTAACTAATGAACAAAGAGCTTGAAATGAGTCTGGAGCTTCTGCTGCCCTTGCAGTTACTTTACTGCACCTGTACTTTGCCTTATTTGGTCATTTTAAGGTGTGTTCCAGCTTCTGAACAGTTCAGTTCATTAATTGCGTATATTGCTTGTAGAATTGTGCAGGTCGGCTGAAGTTGCTTCACAGTGAAAAGGAGAAAGGAAAGCAAATTAATGGTGTTATTATTCGTTAGACTCAGAAACTGGAAAAAGACCTGAAATCGGAGCTACAAAACCCTGAACAGGACTGGACAGCTTTGCTGAAAACACTCAGCAGCCTAGCATCACTGAGTGGAGTCGGGCACCAGACAACTGTAGTCTGGTGGACCCCCTCTGGTGTTCCTTACCAAACTGTTACTGGAAAGGGCACTACTGGACAAATATGAACATAAATGGGAGATGGTCAAAATAAGCCCTATGACCTAGTGATAATTACAGTATTAACATAACCCCAGCTATTTTGTCCTCTGAAAATACAGGTTGCAAATACAAGAATCTGCTTCACAATCGTCTTAATTGAAGTTATCAATTATCACAGTAGTGTGTGGTGATGGTGATGGTGGTGCCTTGGTTAGGATCGTTGCCTGTCTGGTCGTTAGTAGTTCATTGATCCCAGGATCTCTCCCAGCCTGACGACGACGGAATTGCAAAGTAACAATCCAGAGATTTCGAGCAGCTCTGGTGAACTTGGGGAAAAAAAGAACCTGGACCTTGTGTGTGTAAATATTTTAAATCCATATTTACATTTATGAAGTCCTTGATGTATACTTATTCATTGGATTCCAGAAAAGATTGTGACTCCTCCTTTAAAAGATGGATGATATACCACACATTATTGTAGCTTATAGCTGTTTTTGAGGGTGATCCACCTTATCAGTCTGCAGGTAAGGATTCATTAATTTCTGTGCAGTCTGGGCTCTGGTGTCTTCTGGATTTTATTCCATTTTGAACCCGAGTTCAACATATTCCTCATTAAAGGTGCAGTTAACAATAGAAACTTGGTTAGAATTTTCTCAATTATGCAGCTAATTAAGTAATTAGTCTCACTGTGTACCTGACCAGTTGGAATAAAACAATTATGGTCATAGGCCTTCCAGAGACCGGGCTTGAGAGTCCTGTGAGAATTTCTCATGAAATCTGGTATTTTGTGAAGAGCGGGCTTGTGGTGTCTTACTTTGTACTGCCACAAGGGGACAGTCCTGCTCCTATGAGAGAGAGCTGCTTCTTTCAAAGGATTGGATCAAAGCAAGAGATGATTAAGAGACACCACATGTGAGGTATATTCTAGAACAGGATCGCTGGAGTTGAATTCAAGTTGTTTGTGCCTCGAAACCCACTGTCAATACTAAACAGGGTTGTACCTGATAGAAATGGAATGTGTTTTTAACTTTTAAAAAATTTAAGTGACTTTGAATATGCAGATAATGTTGTTCTATTGGATTATGCTGATGATGTTTTGTCATTTCAGAAAGTGTGTGTTGCCTCTGAAGTGGCCAATGCATGTTTGTATTTGGAAATGTTCTAGCTTGTTTGCAATTGTTTTCCAGAGCAATACGGTAGTGTAGCATTGAAGGAGCGAATGTGATTTTCAGGCCTCAGGTTCACACACAAGACCGTAAGAAGCAAAGCTGTAATCTTCCTCCGCAGCCAGTCGTGAAACCCACTTTCTTCCTCTTCCTCCACCTCTGTGAACGGTGGTGCCCAGCCCTGGACCTTTCAGCTCTTGAAAGATCAACTGGGATCTGTAATTGGCTCCGAACCTAATTGTCCGATGAGTGTCACTCCCGCTGTGGGTGTGTCTGACAACTATCACCCCCACTGTGGGTGTGTCTGATAAGTGGCACTCCCACTGTGGGTGTGTCCGATGAGTGTCACTCCCACTGTGGGTGTGTCTGACAACTATCACTCCCACTGTGGGTGTGTCTGATACGTGTCACTCCCACTGTGGGCATGTCTGATCAGTGTCACCCCCCACTGTGGGTGTATCTGACAACTGTCACTCCTACTGTGGGTGTGTCTGACAACTATCACTCCCACTGTGGGTGTGTTTGATACGTGTCACTCCCACTGTGGGCATGTATGATCAGTGTCACCCCCCACTGTGGGTATATCTGACAACTGTCACCCCCACTGTGGGTGTGTCTGACAACTATCACTCCCACTGTGGGTGTGTCTGATAAGTGTCACTCCCACTGGGAAGCGCTGGGAATGAGCCCAACAGGGCTGGAACTGCTGGGGCAGAACAAGAAGACCACTTTGCCCAGCTGTTGACTTCCTTCTCTTGTTTCATTGCCAGGGTGTTGAGTGAAGGCCAAATTCTGTGTATTTAGAAATTGCAACAATGTGTTTTACTGAAGTAAAACTCAGTGTTGTCACAGGACAAAAAAAGGCTGACCACAATGGAAGTATATTTATCTGTGTTTGTGAAGATTATAAAGGAAAAACTTGTGATGAAGCTCTAGATTTTAGCAGCAGTACGATATTCCAAGGATGCCTCCAGCGTAATTCTCGGAATTACCTCTAGAGGGCAGTGATAATTAAGAGTAGAGAGGCTTGCAGAGGTCAGTAGAATAAGCACAGCAGTTACAGATCATAGATATAAAAATCTCCTTAAATGGCAGAAGAATATTTGCATTAATGAAATACATGGTTCTAGACATAATGTATGTACGATTTTGGATTCTGGAACACACTGGGAGTTAGAATAAGCTCACAGCTCATGTTGTTGGAGCCAATAACCAGGTTTCATTCCAGAAAGGGCTCAATGAGATCATGAGATCTATTAACTATTGACTGCCAAATAAGGATGATGGCTGAGTAACCTTTCTTGTGTAAACTTTCTTAAGTTCTTATGTACAAATGTACCATAATGACCAGCCTGGGGTCTAGCATCAATAGCCCAAGGAAAAGGCACCCAGATTTAATAGAGGTATTTAACAATAGTGACAGTGACACAGTGGTATTGATCCCCAGAAGCAGAGCTGCAAGACTGGGCAGGAGAGATCAGACAGTGGTCGTTACTGTCATGAGAATTTTCATGCAAAAACTGTGATAGTTACGATATCGTAATGAGATGTGAGAACAGATTGTGATGTTTGTGAAAATAAACATTTAGAGGTTATTTTGAGCAAATCATTACGATAAGTGTCAATATTTTAATAAAACATTTGAAAGGGCTTAAGAAAGCCCTTTGTTACATTAATATAAATATGTCAGCACACAGTAATAGCAATGCAGTTTAATTTACTTAATAGGAGCTAAACTGCAGGGACAATGAATTCCCCAAAATGTGGTTAGTGGATTAACTATAGTACGCACTTCTACATTAGTATATCCATTATTATAACCTGGATGTTTCTAGTTGGTCTTGGTGGATAAACCACTGGCAGTTCCAGAAAAAATCATGAGGAGAGAAGAATTGTTTCTGGTCTACTTGACTTCTCATCCTAAATCGCACTTTTGCTGCTGCCGTTGCCACTACTATTGCAACCAATGATATTCAGATAATAAGGGACTATGGTGATGCCGTGACCTGCATCTTTATTTCTTAGGTTCAGCCAGAGTGATGCCAGATTTCACACCACAGTTCAGCCTGCAGTGATTGCAGCTCAGCTTTCTCCCCCAAGCTTCTCACCAGAATAAGGCAAAACACTGAGCTCATGCACCTTGTGCACTGTGCAGCTCCAGCATCCCGCACACACCTGGTGTCCACATCGGAGAAATAAGACAAGGCGTTTCCGTAAGAGCGTCTGGTCATGAAGGAGACCAGGACCATCCTTCCCTGGTTGTCTAAACCACATTCCCCATTCCAAGTGCGTTTACTTAAAAGAAACAACATAAAAGACGGAAAATGCAAAAAAAGTAAATAAAG